ACATACGGAATAACCACTGGTTTGAATTCTGCCTGAAACTCTCAGACTGAAGAAGTCTCTTGGAGGAGAGACGAAACGTTTCATTAGAGAAGAACCCGTCCAGAGGACCTATACAATTTTTTCTTTTTGATTTTTTACCTGGATTACTGAGATGCATCAGGACTTAAAGATTTATGTTTTTTTATTTCATGTCTTGAATAATACATTTCTGTTACCCCCATGTGAGCTGGTCTACATCGTCTCAGTCTGCAGATGGGTTCTGATTTGCTCTATAATTTGCCTGACACACAGGCAGTCTGAGAAGAACAGAGAGATGCCTCCCACCACACAGAGGCAACACACAAAAGCCTTTGCTCAGACAATCTGGAGTCTTCAATCTAATTAATGGTTATTAGCTTCAGCTAACACAGGCTTTCATTCTGCAGTGATGAGCTACCTGTTGGCACTGGTGAGTGTGGAGTGGCTTTGAAAGAGGAGGCGGACTCAATGACCACGTACCACACCTGGACTGTGACACAAATAACAAATGAAAAGCTTTACAAGAATTCCTGGAGTTTCACTTGAAGATACAGTTCAAACTGTTAAAAGCAGAGTTTTGTTTGTCTTGTTTGCTTGCTAAAACTACATTTGTGTTTGTGACACATTAGTTGTTAAAAGTGCTTTTTACATTCATCATCCATTTGCTTTTCTTTCAACAGGGCTGGTTACAGATTACAGGGTAAGACAAATTAATCTAACTGATTTTAATTTCTGCAGTAATGTAAACATCATAGAAATAACCAGTTTTCTGCCGCAGCACTGGCAGATTCCACTGGGAAGAAGATTTCGTTCTCTGAAGATGTGGTTTGTGTTTCGTATGTACGGACTCAAAGGCATGCAGGCTCATATACGAAAGGTAGGCCTGCACATGCACATCATTTTACATATCTTTAAATTGGAATGAAAATGTAAACCGGAATTGTGGCATCTTGAAATGTGACATATTTGTGGCATTACAAGCCTTTAAAATTTAGAGTTTAAATTCTGTAGAGAAAATTCAATTTATTTATTATTATCAAACTTTATTCATTTCTTTGAAAAACAATATAAATTC